GGTCGCCTACTTGAAACTGTGACGGGCGACAGTGCTTATTAGCTTGCTCTATCATTCGGTGCTGGGCCTTCCTGAGGTTGTCAACAACAGTAGCTAACTCTTTCTCGTGCTGAAGTGCAAACTCCCTAGTTCCGGGCGGCAGCCTCTGAATCTGGTCCCAGTTAAGCCCTTCAAATGGTCTACGTGGTTTGAAAGACTTATGCAACTTGTTGGGAGTGCGACAAGTAGCTAAATGCAAGCTATTGTTGTATGCACTGGCTACCTTTGGGAGCATCTCACCCCAATTGACTTGGTCCGGTCTAATGTACATACGCAGAACTTGTTGCAGGATCTTATTCATTTGTTCAGTCTGACCGTTAGTCTCTGGATGATGGCCAGATGACATCAGCAACTTGGAGCCATAGACTCTCATCAACTCCTGCCAGTTCTGACTAGTGAACCGGGTGTCTCTATCACTAACTATAAACAGTGGAATCCCGTGTTCACTGACCCAATGATCAAAGAACTTCTGAATGACTAATTATGTGTGTGCCTCTGAAAGCAAAGGAACAAAAACAGCATACTTACTGAATCTATCAATTATTACCATGACTTGGCTCTTGCCGTGCCTACTCTTGACATGGGTGTCCATGAAGTCAATGGACACTGAATCTCCTGGCTGATCAGGAATAGGCAAGGGTTTGAGAAGACCTAGAGGGGCACGTGTAGAGGTCTTATTTCTCTGGCAGACCTTACAACTGCGAACATACTCTATGCAGTCGGCCTTCATCCCAGGCCATATGTACGCGCGCATGAGGTTAGCTAGAGTCTTTTGCCAACCAAAATGTCCCTCAGTATCGTGGCACTCCCCTAGGATCAAACTACGGATCTCCTCACTGTTAGGAACGCACAATCAGTCAACTACGTTAGTCTTTTCGAATAGCAGCCCATCAGTAGTACGGTAGTCTGGTTCGGATTCTGGGGCCTCCTTTACTCTCTTGAGGGGGTCACCATAGATAGGGTCCTGCACATACGCCTCTCTAACTTTCTGTTGCAGGTCTCTCCCTATATCCAGATAATGAGCTATCGCTCCAAAGTAGTCAGTTCTCCTACTCAGAGCGTCCGCAACTACATTATACTTCCCTTTGACTGGCTTAAGCTAAAAGTCATATTGGTCTAACTCTGCGGCCCACCTAACTTAGGTGTCATCTTGGCCTGCGTCTTCAGCCACCTTAATGTCTCGTGGTGTGAGTAGACTTTGAAGTGCCTCCCAAGCAAGTAGTGCTTCCAGTGTTCTAATGCTTGCCTGAGAGCGTCGAGTTTCCTCTCGTAGGTAGATGTCGCTACCTTCTCTGAAGGCATCCTAGCAGACATAAACTTTACGGGTCTATATCCGTTGCCATCGTCTTGCTGTAATACAACACCTATACCATACTAGCTCCCATCAGTCGTGACGAGAAAAGGTAAGGACGGATCGGCTACCTTAAGGACTGGGTACTCTATCAACGCCTGGTTCAATTTCCTCATAGCAGACGTGCAGTCCTTGTCCCACTTCCAGATTGTTTCTTTCTTCAACAACCTGCGAAGGAGAGCAGCGATGGTGGAGAAGTTCCTCACATACTTCCTATAGTAGTTAGCTAGGCCTAAGAACGACTGCAACTCTGTCAACGTGCTGGGTGTAGGCAAATCTCTAATCGCTGCGATCTTACTATCTTCTGGTTTGATGTCGTCTTCGTCTAAGACATGGCCTAAATACAAAACTTGGGTCCTTGCCCATTCGCACTTCTTTGCATTGATCTTGAAGTTGGCCTCTCTCAGCTTCTCCAAGACCTGCCTCAGATGACCCTCATGCTCCTGGAGGGTCCTACTGAACACTAGAATATCGTCTAAGTAGTCTACTACAAACCTATCTAACCACGGCCTAAATAAGTCATTCATACAACGCTGAAAAGTTGTTGGCCCGTTGGTTAGTCCAAAGGGCATAACTATAAACTCGTAGTGCCCATATCTAGTCCGGAACGCGGTCTTATACTGATCATCAGGATGGACCTCTTATCTGATGATATCCAGACTTTAAGTCTATCTTCGAAAAATACTTGCAACCGTGCACCCGGTCTAAGAGATCATCTATACGGGGCAATGGCTCCGCATTTTTCACTGTGATAGCATTGAGACCCCTATAGTCAATGCACATTCTAAGCTCTCCCTCCTTATTTCGGACAAATAGAACAGGTGCTCCAAATGGAGACGAACTGGGCCTAAGCCAACCCTTCTCTAGGAGTTCGTCTAACTGCTTGCGAGCTCCTCCAATTTCCACGGGGACATCCTATACACTGCTCCTTTAGGAGTCCTACTGCCAGGCTCTATCTCAATGCGATGCTGGATGGGCCGCGGGACTACTCCTGTAGGCGGCTTAGCTAAATCTATGTACTCTTCCAGCAGCTTGGCGATAGCGGGATCTATGGGCTTTTCCTCTTTAGGCTCAGTAACTGGCCTGACATAGGCTACAAAGCCCTGTTCTTCTAGTTGCTCCTCCTTCACTAATCTTGCAAACGCAGGAGCGCTAAGGCAGCAATGTGCCAGGGAGTTATCTACTCCTGACACGTGGAACAGACATGCAGTCTTGACCTCGCCTGCTGGACTAGGGAGCCTACACTCGTGCTCTCTCATATGGAGTGTGGCCCCGGCTGCCTCTCCCCATTCCATTCCTAGGACTATATTGAAGGGGAGGCTGTCCTCTACGAGGAGAGTCAGGGAATGGAGGACTTTCTCCACTTTCCCATCTTTCTCTAGGCAAAAGTACGCCTGGACTCCCTCCACGTAATCCTCTACTCGCATTGTGCGATTGTCTGCGAGGATACTCACTATGGGGTGTGTTAACTTCTGGACTTTTAGCCCCAACTTCAACTTTTGCAGCGCCTTTCTACTGATAGAGTTGCGCGTGGCCCCACTATCTACTAGGGCCCCTACTCTACCTCTGAAAATCTCTGTCTACTAAAACTAGTTGTCCCCTTCTTCATCTTGGCCCAGGCGGGCATTCTCTCCTTCAACTCATCGGCCACGCCTGTGAGGGAAGTGCCTGGAGAGACTCTGACACAGGCTGTCTCTGGACAACTAGCTAGGCACCAGACTGCAACCTCTGCCATCGGCACATGTGGTGTGGGAGTTTCTTGCGCTCGCGCTCGCTTTCCCACATGGCCTTGCGGTAGGGGCAGTTGCTACCCCTACCGGCGGCTGCCTTTTGACCCCTGGGCAGCCGAACGGGCCTCTCTATGCTTTGGACAATATTTAATGATGTGGCCAGGGTCATCACAATATATGCACTGTACCTGATTCACACGTTGTTGCCATAAGTGCTGGTCCAAGCCCAAGTCTTCCCACGGCCGGCCCTGTGGCAGCCCTGGGTGCCAACCGCCTCTCCAATAGGGCGACCTGTTTCCCCTATTCGGTGATCTATATATTGGAGACCTGTTTCCCCTATTCGGTGATCTATTCCCTCTATTAGGCGACCCATTCCTCGAACGGTTTTGCGGGGGACCTTGACCCCTTCCTCCCACTTGGCGGTTTCCTCCTCTACCGCCAACCCCTTGATCGCTCTGGGAACGGCCCCCTAAGGCCCGGCCCCCTTGGCCCTGGCCTCTACCTCCTCCTTGCGGCCTCCCTCCAGCCACGACATCAACGTAGGTCCTCCTGTGACTAACGCTACTGTCCTCTTCCTCAAGCCCCCACTCAATCTGCTCGTAGGGGACTTCGTCTACACCACCCTCATCTAAAGTAAGGAATCAAGCGATCCTTGGTCTTGACCTATCCTGAGATGGTGCGACCTTTCCACTTTTTGCCCTTGTCTAGGTCCTTATGCCAAAAAGTGGAGATTGACATGGACCGCGCTTCAAAGGCTACCACTTCCCTGCTCAAAGCGTCGTAGGTCATGGTAGGCTGTTGACTCTTCCCAAAGAAATGCCCGCGTAGCTGTTCGGGCATCGCACGATAGAAGAGGTTGACCAGTTGGGTCTCAATTACCCCATGGTTCGGGACGACGACTAGCTCGTCCATCACACCCTTGAGTGCTCTAGCACTCTTCCACTGACAAGAGTGGATGGTTTGCAATCCATCGGAGGCTTTGACACTGCGTGAGACATCTGCGAATCATTCGCGCAATAACTTAAGGAAGTCAGTGAGGGGAGTGAACGCAGAATAAGCGACTAAATCATCATTACAGTTGGCGGCACGACACAAGGAACGGGCGAAGCTTGCTGCTTCATCTCGGAGGGCATGGACGACTATAAGGACATGCTCATCCGGGGAGACCTTCTGCAGATGTACGTAGGTTTTGACATTGGTTTCCTAATTGTCAAAATTCTCCTCTTTTTTCCCGCTATAGGAGTCAGGGAACTTGACCTTGACAGGCTCCCTTCGGGGACGTGCTTCCTCCTCCTTGGGAGCAGCCAGTCGGGCACTGTCTATGACACCCGTGCAATAACGCTCCGTGCCCTCTAGGCGGGCCTTCACCTCTGAGCCCACCTGCGTCGCTAATTCCCTTGCAAATTCCCTGAGTCCCAGCCGTAAAGAGCGCAAGGCGATGTCCTGACTTCTACCAAACTGGTATTGCCCTTCTTGGACCTGTGCCAGGCGCTCTATATTTCTCGCCATGATCTCCATCTTCCCCAATAGGTCCACCTGCGTCGCCATCTGCTCTCTTTGTTTCTTTACCTCCTCCAATTCTTTCGCCGCCCAGCTCGCCGCCTCCATTCTCCTTTTCCTCTCCCTCGTCAGTCGGAACTTCCACTCCATCCTCTTCTCATTTCTATAGCCTGCCGCTTGAGTGGATCTTCTTTTGCATCCCACTCTCTCATGGCCGCCTCTTGTTCTTCCCTAGGCACATACATTAGTGTCTCTTCTTTTTCTCCCAGGGATAAATTAGCAACCCACTCCGTAATCTTCTTCTCCGTCTGATTTTCCTTTGTTCCACTGGATTATCCTCTCCCTCTTGTCCTTCGCTTGTCCAGTGGTGGTTATTCTACCTCTTCCTCCTCTTCTACTGCCTTGAGCTTCTCTTCTTCTTCTTTCTTTAACCTCTCTTTTTCTCTGGCCATCTCCTCCTCAATCTTCTTCAACTTCGCCGCCTGTTCTTCTATCAAGGCCTCCTTCTTGGCCTCCTTCTTCTCTCTTCTCTCTTTCAGGACGGCGGCGGCCTTTGCATCCTGCTCTGCTGTATAAGGGGAGGTGCTCGTTCCTGTACGCGTGTCTACCATGGCGACAGACGCAACCAAGTGACGGTTCCGCTCCTCACCACTTAGACGTCCCCCCTGACTGACTTACTTGAGACTGACTCAGTCTATGGACCACAGGATCCGTATAGAACCCTGTCAACTACGGTCTCTAGGCTAGACTCTAATACTACAGCCGTCACTACAGTATCTGTTGCTGACCAGGAGGCATTTAAGGATATCCACCGTAAGTCCTCTGGAATTCTTTAACATCGCAAATAGGATGACGCGGTCAGCAGATCCTCTCATGACTTAGACGGCCCGGTGTGCAGCCCACAGCTCGGATTTTGGGCCTACCGTGCCACACCGAGCAGCCCGCCGGTCAGTACCGGTCCTTGGGAGGGTTCGTGTCCTCCGGGATAGTCGAGTCATCAGACACAGCCTTTAGCCCTACTCATCCCGTGTGGGTTTGGTCAATGAGGCCCTATCCTTCATACACGGAGTCCTATCACCTGGACATAAGAGACTCAATGCAGAAAGAAGAGACAAACAGACTCAGACTCAAACTTAGCAAGTACCGTAGGGTGAGTGCACATCCATAGGGCGAGGGGATAGGCTAATGGCTTGGCGAGATTATACCAACTCCAGCTTGGTCAAAATCGTGGGCGACAGCTCCGGTCAACGCTTGGTCAACACGGTCACACCCCGGTCAACGCTCCGGTCAACCCTCTAGGTCGGCTATGGCTGCCGACACCTTCTTCCTCGCCAACCTCCCTTCTCTTCCTCCTCCTTCACCTTTCTTCTTTCTTGCCTTTTCTTCTTCCTTTTTATTTTTTTATTTTTTTTGGTTCACCCTCGGCTATGTCTGTCTTCAACTTCGTTGTCCTTCTTTCCTTCTCCCTCTGCTATGTCTTCTCTTTCATTTCCAGTCTCTCCTCCCTTCTCTACTTCACCTTCCTCTCTCCTCCGTGTCCCGAGCTCTGCGGCTATGGCCGCTACTTCGTCTTGGACCGCACAACCAATCTTGTATCACTCAGCCTCTCTCTCTTTCTCTCTCTCTCTCTCTCTCTCTCTCTCTCTCTCTCTCTCACACACACACACACACACACACACAGAGAATATGTTCGAACTACACACACAGAGAATATGTTCGAACTAGCATGTCCTTCAGTCCTAATCCACACATTTTACTACACTTTTCTGTTTTTTTATTTTTTTTCCCTACGNTCTCTCTCTCTCTCTCTCTCTCTCTCTCTCTCTTCGTCGTTGTCCTCTGTGCAGGTACGCGTCACCTTCCTCCGCAGCGCAGCTATGGCGGACTTCTTCTTCACGGTGGCGCACTTCAACTATGGCGCCCTATGATGGCGCACGTCTCTCCCCTGCTGCAACGGCGATGGCGCGTGAGATAGCGGGTACCAGCTCCGATACCAGTGCAATCAGACTCGCTCAATTCTTCGCTTCACATGCATACAAACAGATGGTGATTCACACTGGCGCATAGCGCCCAACTCAAAGCTCAGAGATATGGAAGCCAAGAACACAGTTCAGATGCAAACTCGCTTCAACAGGCTATGGTGCACCAGCACCTATACATTCCAACTCTCGTCACTGTGTCCAACACCACTGTTCGCTCACCCTTCAACTCTGGATCACCTTGGATACCCCATGCACGCACTCTGTAACACGCACACATACACACCTATCACTAACTACGGCAGCTATGGCCGCCAACTAACACTACCTACAAGCAGCTATGGCTGCGCCAACTCTCCTTCAGCCCACTTCAACTTTCAGGCGCATATGCAGACCACCTCGCACAAGTCACTGTGGCAGTGCTTCCGCATGGCTTCCGCAGGAATGAATGAATAGCTGGGCGTTGCCTCTTGATTTATACTTTTGTAGCTCATTGGTCTGGCCCTTTCCCATGCCCTGGGTACTCACCGTCCCACACGGTACTTGCTTGACTGAACTAGGACTGACGGGGGCGGGGACTGTTGACTCAGCACGGGTAGACTCCACCACTTGCCCACTTGCCTAGGTCTAAACGTGAGCAACTTCGAAAGGCCACCACTAGGACCTTCCAGAAGTCTTTCGAAGACTATAGTTGACCTCTCAGGACTGTAGCAGCTACGACCTTGACCCTTCAGGAGTCCTACAGTTACGACTTCTAGACTCCCTAAGACCTCTACCCGACAGGTCTACAGATCGTACCCTTACACCTACAAACCCTACGACAGCTTCCTAACTGTTGCGAACACACACAGGTCACGGGTTCAACTCTCAGGGTCAACACAGATACTGTACACAGATAAGGTGAGAGCTAGGGATTGAGCCTTGGGATCTGCATTCGCTACTGCTAACAACTGAAAACCGTTTCATTCTGAAAAAATCAGCAAAACACATTTTCATCCTCGATTTTATTTTTTTCTCGAATTTTCTCGTAAACTTCGATAAGACCCTCAGGCAAACGTTGTTCGTATTGCATTGTTGTATAACATTTTTTTTTTCCAGATTTTTTTTATTATTTTTTAAAAATAAAAGTTCCAAAAATTTGAATACAACATACGTACGTTGTCTTCGAATCGAACGTACGGACGTTATATTCGAACGTACGTTCTATTCGGGGAGAAACAAGCGATGTCTGAAAAACCGATTTCCAGAGGTAATTCGAATAGAACGTACGTACGTTTTTTTCGGGTTAAGAAGGTAGTACACGCATGCTTTGCCGCAAGTCCTTGGTTCTGCTGCTGCGCAATAGAGGTCATACAGGGCATGCCAGCCCTTTGAACAAACGCTCACCAGACCGTCTATAAATATTTCTGGCGGGATCAGGTGTTCAACCCTGGCTGTGATCGTTGTCCTGTCTGCGACGTTAAATAATTCCTGAGGACCTTGGGGGCTGTCCTTGGCTCTTGATCAGCCAGATCAAACCGGGTGTAAGGCTCGTTGCATCCGAGGATAAACAAGGTGCAGGGGCTGGCAGGTTCGGTACAGACTTGGGGCACAGGGGTGGGCCGGATTGCACACCTTCAGACACTGCTCAACCAGATGCTTAGGACGTCGACACAAAGTGACTACTCAAGAGAGATACAGGGGGAGGGTTGGATTCCAGTAACTGTTTCGTTGTGGCAATAATTAGAAAAACTGCCATCCAACATGAATCTCTACAGGTAATATTATTTTTATTTTTGATTATTTAGTTGTTAGTGAATGTTACAGACTTGACTAACAACTGACAGACAACTGCAGATAGAATAGTACATTCCTTGCTGCATAGCAATCTGTATTAGAGTGATCTAAAAAAAGAACTAATGTTGCCTGTAGGATCTGACATTAGTTGTCACTGACCACTTAACTGTTTCTGTCCAGGCCGACGGGAATTAGTTGTATATCATACGCGGTTGTGGGTCATGCTGAGGTAGGATTCAGTGTGGATTCTAGTTTAGATCACACACCCTGTAGCTCATGAGTGATGCAAGTAGTAGTGAGGAGGAGTTAGTGGATGACCTTAGGATCACTCATAGAACTGTTCTCAGTTGACCGATCACCTTCCTAGAGTTAGGACCAGGAGAGGAAAGGAGGTTGTGGAGAGAAGCTAGGGAGAGGGCGGCATTGCGGAGGGCGAGGGACGCTGAGGCCAGCGCCAGGGCTAGGAGTATAGCTAGCACAGGTGCGACTATGGCTACCTCCTCTACCATGTCACAGACCTCTTCATCAGGAATCAGTCAGAGTGTTTCTCAGGTTTTTGTTAGCCAGACTGTTGGCTTGCAAGTCAGCCAACAGACTCAACTCACACAGGAGGATTATGAGATCCTCCAAGCAGAAGAACTTCATGACGAGTTGCAGCGGCAGTTGAGAGAGGCAGCGGAGAGGAGACAACATGCTATCTTGAGAAAAGTTAGACTAGGGAGTAGGAGACAAGAGTTAAGCAAATTAGAAGCATTGGATGAGTCGACACTCGACCCTGCGATGCAAGCTCTGCTTAACTCGCTTCTATGAGTAGAAGAAACGTAGGTTGTTCAGTAGGAAGTGCTGGCTGACTAGTGGCAGGCCAGAAACAAATTTTGGCTGCACTGCAGGCTCCTCGTCCATTCATGAGGCAGCCTCAATATGCTGTAACTCCCCCTTCGGTTGCGGGCCCCTCAGTGACGCCGTCGCCGGTAGGGCCCTCTTTCTCCCCTATGTTGGTCTAGTAGCAACTAGTGGTCCGGTCCTTAGAGCTTCTACCGTACCATCCACGACGGTGGTAACTACAGTCCCATTGTCAGGACAGGCCCAGGTTAGCGTGCAGCAACCTGTCTCAGTGGCCATGCAGCCATTGCAACTGTCTCCTGGGTCAATCCAGCTTATGCAATGGATGCCCAGTCCTAAGCCCATCTCTGGTGACAGGAAGAAGGACGAGGACCTGGATACCTGGGTGAGGACTGTGCCCACTTATGTGAGGCACAAGCTCACCAGGCCAGAGCAAGAAGTTATAGTTGCTGCCTCCTTTTTAGAAGGATCGACAACGCGTTGGTTGAATGGGTTAGTGCAGCAACAGGGCTATGGTCAGAACTTCGATGCCTGGGCTCAGGCCCAGACATTGGAAGACTTCGTACGGACGGTGTACAAGAGGTGGCATGACCCTCAAGGGGCTCAGAAGGCCACCGACGCGATTAACAATCTTTGTGCCAAAAGGTACAAGAATGTACGTGAGGTCACATACGTTGTAGAACGTCTGATCGTAGTACCTGGTGTGCGTTTTGACCCGCACGTACTCCTCACAGATTATTTGAGATGTCTGCCCACAGACGTTAAGAATAAGCTGGTGGACGAGGCCTACATCGACCAACATAGCTTCGCTACTTTCAGCAAGAAAGCCTTCGATATAGAGGCTAAGCTGGGATCCGCACATCACGGCCAAGCACATGGTAGGAAAAAGGAGCTTCCCCAAGACTGGAAGAAGAAGGGGCAACTAATATTTGTAGACCATGATGGTCAGACAACTGAAATTGACGACCTCTTAGACCTTGGGGATGAGACAGAGCATGATGAGGCCAGCGAGACTTTGGATGGGGGAGTCGTGGCACCTATCAAGGAAAAGGCTAGGAGGACCGGGAAGCAAAAGGTAGGCCGGTCCAAGGGTCACGGCGACCAAGGAACGCCC